GGGCAGAGAGCAGCCTCCCAATAGCTGTTTGCTGAGGAATGTAGAAATCAATGCAGCAAGAGCAAAATTATGAGAGAGCAGTTGGGATGCTATGAAATTAATAATTGATAAAAATAGAGCTTCTGAATATCTAAACAGTTGGTATCATTTGGGATGGGAAAAAAATCAATGAGAAACTATCTTAGACATGAGAGTTCATTGAGATTTTTATCAGTTCATGTTAGTGAACTGATAAAATTTAAAAGTTTTAAAGAAAAATGCAAAAAAACTAGATTTAAAACTAGATTTTAAATTTAAAACTAGATTTAGCTCATCTGTAATCCTTCTCCACCTCAATTTATTCTGACTCCCTAAGCCACTAAGACCCTAAACACAATCTAGCATTACAACAGATTTTGCTGGATTAGGCACCTCAAAGCATGCCAATGGGCATTCCTACCTACTATATTTATAGGTACACAGCTTTCCGGTTTCCCATACATTATCTTGTCTGACCCTAAAAGGGGAGCATAAAAACTCATGAAGAAAACAAATGAAGAAATTGTAACCCAGGAAAGATAAAACCCCTCAAGAAATTAGAAAATGATGGCTCTGGCACCAATACCTAACAACAGAACATCATGCCCTCTCCCTCTCGTACTGTAGAGGCCCAGACAGCATTAACCTCTGAGTGGTAGGTTGAAAGGTTTCCCCAAAGATTTCTCTGGGGTCTTTCTAGGCACAAAATGCAAGCCACACGACAACTGGGTGTACAAATGTATTGAAGACAATGTCCAGTGTCCAGTGTCCAGTGTCCAGAAGTCCTACTGAAGCAAGGAGATTTGGAAGCTCTTTGCTTTTGCCTTGCTCTTCCAGGCCTCAGTGATCCTTGGGCTAACTTAAAGTTGATCTTCCTCAGTGTGAGAGGCCAAAATGAGATTCCAGCTAATGAGTGCATAGTTTGACAAATGTCAGGATTCTGCATTGCTTGGAGAATTACAGAAACTTGGAAATATTAACTAGTTCTGCATAAAACATTAAGGACAGAAAGCAAAAATTAGGCAATCAGTATAAGAGTATTGTTTTCAACCGAATTATGTGAATAAAGCGTGCTCAATTGTAGCATATTCAAATGCACACAAATACAATTAAAAGGGAGGGAAAGTTTAGGGAGCCCATCAGTGTGGTAGTTGTTGTTCCAGTGAATATCCCTGGACGTATAGCTGGACATCTGAGTTCCTTCGTTAAGTTATGTTATTTAAAAATCTTATGCACAGTGTCTTACACTAGTAGGTAATCAATAAATGCTTGTTAAACAGAATTAAGTCAAATAGAAAAAAATGGAAATGCCTAAAGTACTTGAAGATTTATCAGCATAGGTACTTATCCCTGGTTCACGTTGGAATCACCTGGGGACACTGGTTAAGCTCCAACTCCCATCCTGCACCTTGACTTATTTTGATTTAATTGGTACAGAAATCTTTTCAGTCAACCTGACGTTCTGAATTTATTGGTGAGAGCTGCTTTGGGATGCCTGGGATGTTGGATACATTTCTGGACTGAGTAGTCACTGTTGGGAAAGAGTTGATTGATTCATACGTTGCAATTTCAAACAGCACAGGAGGTATAAAGGGTCCAGTGTGTCTGTTTTACGGACAGGTCACCATTTATGTGAGCTGGCACAAGACGTTAGCAGGTCAGTAAAGGCCCATTTTTAGATGGATATTTGCTTTCTGGATGCCGATGAGACCTGTGTTTGGGTTGTGTGTTTAAGGTGTAGGTAAAGAGCATCTAGCGAAGGAACTTGGGAAAGATGTCTGAGAGTTAATGCTAATTTAAAATGGTGTGGCATTAATATGTGGTGACCACTCTAATTTTATTAGTATCTAATAAATAGGCAATCACATGGGAAGGTTTGAACTAAATTCATAACATGAGATACAGACTCACATGACTTTGAGTCTGGGAAGTGACTGTAAGGCAGGAAGAAAAGAGTGAGTTCACAGTGAGGCTGGGCAGAAGAGGTAGTGATGAGGCTCCCCTGGATGACGCTTCTGCTTGCACTTGGACTGTTGAGATTTCTAATTAAAAGATTCTGGAAAAGCCTTCTCCACTCCACTTACCTTTGAGGTTTATAAAGCAGGTGAATCTTAACCAGAAACAGAGTAAGGCTTCTGCTGTATGCTATTATATCCCACCCCTAATACCCTGCCTTCCAAGAGCAGCTGCAACCCTTCCAACAACAGGCATAGAACAGGTAAGTGAGACAGAAGATGAAGGGAGATGTGCCTGCAGAGTTAAGATGCACCAGGGTCCAGGATCTATCCTTGGCTAGATATGAAGCTCCTTGAATATCAATGTCCTTTGAGAAGAAAGTGAATGATCAGTCCTAACTAAACCCTTCTTGTTCAGAGTCAGCACGCATGCAAGTAATACTTAAAGACGCCCAGTGTCCTTCATCCTCCTCTACTTTGGATAAAGAATCAGGACAAACCAGGCCACCAGAGAAAATTTTCAGAGAAAAACCAGGAATATTCCCCACAAGGAAGGATTGCTTCCATTCAAAGGAGATGAGCATGAAGACGGAGACCGCCCATTTCAGTTTCACAAACAGCCAAATCCACCTGCCTTCCCACAGAGAGAACCAACTATAAGACCCAGCTGGGTGGAAGCTGCCTCACATTAGGTTCTGGTGTTCAGTAAGCATAATCATAAAAGCTGACACAATTCAATCCTTTATAGCCTTCAGAATCCATTCACATCCAGTATCTCTGAAGACAATACGGCTGGAATGTGCTGGGCCCTCTACATGCTTTTAAGTGCTCTACCACTGAGCTACAGCCCCAGCCCCAAGTATTCTTATTCTTATTCTTATTCATGTAATGAACACAGATGTCAAATGCAGAAAGTAGTAAAAGGTAAAGACAGAATTTGACCTGAGTCTTCATATTCTAAATCCCAGGCTCTTTGCATAACAAAGTTAAGTATATACCAAGTGTCTAGATATCAACCTGCATCTGAGACTCAGATAAATTCTCATCCAAGTGCAGAAGTGGCCTCAAGAAGGAATCCAAACTACTTCTTAACTTAACATCTTTACCTCCTGGTTACCAAGTGAAACATGGAATTTGACTCCAAAAGTAAGCAAGTACATGTGTGGTGGGGGAAGGAGGATTTTTGAACAGTTATTCAGGGCTCAAGATTGAGAGCTGGACCTAATGAGTTTCAAATATGTTAGTTGCATTTCCTTGAGCAACTCATTTCACTTCTGTAAGCCTTAATATCCTCTCTGCCTTACAGAACTGTGAGGATTCAACCCAATAATGCATGTAAAGCCCTGAGCATGGAACCTAGTACATAGGAGGGTCTTAGGTGTTAGCTTTATTTTATTTTCCGCATCCACCCAAGCACACACAACCAGAGACCTTGTTATCGCCCTCCTCTCTATGGCTGATAACTAATGTCTTTGTGGTAACTTGGTAATGAAACTTCCTCTATTGTGTCAGCCAGAATAAACCTTTAAAGGAACATGAAAGGACAGTTATGGAGGAGAAAGAACTATGTAGCGAGAACCTTGGTTTCCTTTTTAGCTCCACTTTGTGCTGTGAGACCCTGAGCAGGTGACGTCCATGAAATGAGGGGGTCAGAAGATATCTCAAAGACCTTTTGGGGGGCTCTCATTACCCCAAGAAAAGGATGCAGAAAGCAAACAGTCGGCAAAATGGTGCTGAAGCCCCTGCCAACTTGAGTAGCGGGAATTCTCATCTCAAATGGCTGGCCTGAGAGTTTCAGCCACTCGGAAAAACTCTTTCCCTTTGGATGTAACTCTTGAACATCAGCCTGGACTCAGAGTTCCCAACTGAAAACTGCCCCAAGTCATTGGATAACAAAGGAAGGGCACCCTGCCCCAGCAAGGAAATGAATTGGAAAGCTGTATTTCATAATCATCAACTGAAAGTTCTCCATATAGCCAGCCTCCCGCCCTGCCACCCCAAACCTCAGGGTGAAGCCGCCCCTTCTCTAAAGTTGCCTTTCTCACAATTAGATCAGCAACTGCCCTGAAGCACAAAAAATGCTTGGCTATGTTCTCTCTAAAGCAGAGGACCCAAAGACACCACCACTAAATGCCTGAAAGCCTAGCTCCTGGCTCCACACTCTCCACCCTGAACCTGACTCTGCAATCGGCCTGTCTTGCCTGCCAACATTTTCAACTCTGTTAACGGTGTTTATTGTATTGTGCGGCTGCTATGGATTCATCAACTTTGCTTTGGCCCTCTTTGGTTATTAGCACTCTTTATTCTTCCCTCCACAACGCAAATCCAGACCCCCAGAAACGTGGGATCTGACTTCTCAAGTCTATGGTGTCCTGTTCCCTGCCCTTCCTTGCCTGATTGAAACGTCCCTCTTTTGAAACTTTTCCTGACACACCAAGAGCTTTCGTTTTCGAAAAAAGAAAAGAAAAAAAGACCCAAATAACTTACTTTCATCCAGGGGTGCACAGTTTTGGAAAGAAGAAAACAGAATTATAATCCACTGCGTTTCCCCCAACCCCAAAAGAAGACTGTCGTGAAGCGCTTCTTTTTCCACTTTGCCGGTGAAGGAGCCTGGTGGCAGGCACACATACACAGGCTGATGCAAGATGCCTTTGAGAGAAACCTCACATTCTGAGGATTCCTGGGAAAGCGCCAGGGATCCCAGCATCCAATATATTGCACATTTGGTTTCAATTAGGAAGGGGGTTGGGGAGGGAAGAAGGAAAGTCACCAATCAGAGCTGTTTTCTGTTTAGAGACTATTTCTTTTGACCCAAGGGACCATCAGCAAAGCTATAATTTACAGCAAAACCCATTCATAGAAGAAAAAATATGTATAACCATAGGACAGACTTAAAGACATAGCTCCCTTCCGACTTATCCTCGCCCATATACATCTCCACACCCTCCCCTCCAGCTAAGACTTGGTCCCCATCCTGGGACGTTTCCCCTCCCCCACCCTCCCCCACACACACCTCATTTTTCTTACTTGAGCTGAAGCTATAAGCACAAGTTCAAGTTTAGAGTCTCTTCCAATTGAAGCTTCCCAGAGAGTTGGGTCACATGCATGGAGCTAATCTTCATGAGAGTTCTGGCCATGAAAGCTCAGAGCTAAGTCCTCCTCAAAAAAGATTTGATTTAATCCCTTCCCCCCACTGCCTCCTCTTCAAAAAAACTGGATGCTTCCAGAGTCCAGGATTCCTTCTTTTTTATTTTTTTTTTTCCACTCAACTCTCAGTTGGCTGCTGCTGCTTGAGGGTCTGTTTCTGTCTGTCCTGGATTCCTGCAGCTAAATGAAAGCACAAGCATTTACAAGGAGTTTTTAAATTATTTTGTAAACTTTTTTTTTTCTTCCTTTCTGTGGCCAGGGCAAGAGATCATGTGAAAGTGGTGTGTAGGCGACAGGGGAGGAACCCTTGCTCAGTTATCCAAATGATAACTAATAACCCTCTCCATCCATCCAGGCTCTAACCTTAACCCTTTAGAGCCTGGATTGCTTCTGATCAAGCACCAGACCTGGAGGTCCTGATTCTCTGTGAGTGTAGGGAGTGTAGCACAAGGAAGTACTAAGAGCAGCAGACCCATGGAGCAAGACAGATGGCAAAAGGCAGGTTAAGAAGACAGCCTACCTTTGAGAGCTGGCCTCCTCATAAAGATATCTCCTTCTCCTGGGTTCTTGAGCTATCACCACCTCTTCTCTGCTTATCCTTGATCTGGACTGTACAGCCTCCAAGATCTGCAGGAAAAGAGGTGGGGCCACCAAAAAAGAAAAAGGAGGGGAACATCTCCACCCCCATAGTAAGTTGGGAACATGAGATGCTTCATAAGGGGCACAGTGAAGTAAGGAAAACTGGGGTGGCTATGGAATTAACGTGGAGATTGTCAGTGGTAAATCCCTAAAAGGCTCAGAAGTGCAACACCAGTCTGAGAGTCAGAAAGCAGCTGTAATGTCTGTGTTCCACAGCTGAAAGAGGACACAAAAAAAATGGAGAGGCTCTTCAAGAGACAATGAAAAGTAGAAAACAAAATTGAAGAGATTTTTTAAAAACCTAGGACTTGGGTTATTTTACAAAGAGAAAGGACAGTACTGATAAGAAGACTCTTCACATAGCTTAAGCACCCAGAGTCGGGTCTGAGGGTGATGAGGCCAAGATATTCAGCTCAACTCCACTCCATAAATATATATTGAGCATTTATCAGGCACTTCACTGGATGCCACATCTATGAACATGCGGTTATACACGTATTCCTGGAATCTTTCTCAGATATCTAAGCCTATAGTAGTTTACTATAAAGAATGCATCCATAATATAAACTGTAATTTTATAGATTTGGTGAGGTTACCGGACAACAGAGTAATAGATTCATGAAACCAGAACCTAACAAGGATAGGCAGCTATAGGTATCTAACATGGTTCTATCCATAGGCAAGACTGTTTGTTTGTCAGTGAATGTCTATAACTAAGATTCCACTTGAGCCTGGATTCTTGACTTCAAAACCCAGATACCCCTGGGTTAGTCTGAGGAAGAATGGGCAGCTCCATCAAGAGTTTGTGTATAGACAAAGGATACATCCTGGGAAGAATTCATTGAGTGAAGAGAGAGCTGAAGGATAAAAGATGGTCCCAAGTACAACCAAGCTTTGTCAAAGGTAATGAGTAACTCGAAGAAAAATACCATGTCTGTCACTTGTATGCCTGTCACTCAAGCTTGATCACTCAGGTTCTTCTGAGCTATGTCCAAGTCTAATCCTGAACTCTGGGAAGTAGATGCTACCAAAACAAGAGCAAGGAAAAACTGAAAGCAATATTTTACTAAAATGTTTAAGGGGCATTAAAGCATTAAGAGGAATCATCAGCTTTGAGCCTCAGTTTCAGAGACAACTCTGGCTGGCTGGGGAGGGGTGTGCATCTTCAGCCCTGGCAAGTCATTGCTGTAGGAAAAGCAGAGCTGGGAAGAAAGAAAATGGTCAGTGCTACCTCAAAGCTGAAAGGACCAATTCATGGAACACTTGGAAGAACCTTCCTGAAGACTCCCAAAACTATTTGATGGACTTTTGAGTAAGGCTGGAATTCCCAATGCTGCAGGAACAGATGTGGGGAAATACTATTTTATTACTCTTTTGTGCACAGATTTTAGCCCCTAGTTGGTTTGACTTGGGAAACATGAGTCATTGCAATCAGAATTATTTATGTTCCATAGAAAGTAATACATCTTAGTTATGAGGACTTTTTTATACTGCAAATGAATAACTGAGAAGCAATACAGAATTTCATTACTAGGGTTTTACACAAAGCAGGATAGATCTATCTAGAACGGTCAAGATGCAGTATTAATTAGAAGTGAGGAAATGTACAAGATAACTTTTAAAGATCTTTTCTCAGTCTGCAAGTTCAAGTAAAAACAAGTGTTGAGAATTGAAATAAGTATAGGACTTCTGCTTCTAAATGACACAGAGCTAGACATCTTTGTGATCCTTTAGAAAATAAAATGAGGGTGGAAGTAAAGGAATTTAACTAACTTAGTTTAAGAAACACAACACATGCCGATTTGATGGTACACACTTGAAATCCCAGCAACTCAGGTGACAAAGACAAGAGGATTTCGAGTTCAATGCTAGCTTGGGCAAAGTTAGGGAGATCTATCTCAGACACATCTCACCACAGTCAGAATGGCTATCATTAAGGATTAGGCCTGGATTCCTAGCTCTCAGGAAACAGAGATCAGGAGAATCACAGTTCAAAACCAGCCAGGGCAAATAGTTTGTGAAACCCTATCTCCAAAAAACCCATCACAAAAAAAAAGAAAGAAAGAAAGGGCTGGTGGAGTGGCTCAAGGCATAGACCTTGAGTTCAAGCCCCAGTACCACCAAAAAAAAGAAAAGAAACAACAAATGCTGGCCAGGATGCGGTGGGGGTGTGTGCGGACTGTTGGTGGGAATGTAAATTACTACAGGCACTACGGAAATCAGTATGAAAGGTCCTGAAAAAAACTAAAATTAGAACTACCATATGATCCTGCCATATCACTCATGAGCATATATCTGAAGGAATATAAGTCAGAATCAAATAAAGACACCTGCACACCTATGTTTATAGCAGCACTATTCACAATCATCGAGTTATGGAATCAGCCTAAGTGCTATCAACAGATGAATGGATAAAGAAAATGCAGTATATAGGCATATCAGAGTATTATTTAGCAATAAGGAAGAATGAAATCATGTTGGTTGCAGGAAAACAGATGAAACTGGAGATTGTCAGGTTAAACAAAATAAACTGGGTTCAGAATATATATATGTGTTTGTGTGTGAAAGAGAGAGAGAGAGGTAAGATGAATGTAAATTTTGGACTGTTTGGGGGGAATCTGTAGGAGGGGAGAGGCAAAGGAGAGGATGATAGGGGAGTGGATATGATCATAATATATTATGTCTATGTATGAAAATAATAAAATAAACCCCACTAAAAACTACTTTAAAAGGGGAACAGGGGTGGGAGAAAAGAAAGAGTAATGGGGGCGTTAATTTGATCAAAGTATAATATGTACATGTATGGAAATACCACAATGCAATGCCTTTCTACAATTAATATATACTAGTTAAAAAAATATGAACAAAAGGGGTGGGAGCATGGCTCAAGTGACCTCACACATGCCTAGCATGTTTGAGGCCCAGAACTGCAAAAGAAAGAAAAAAGAAAAGAAAGAAAGAAAGAAAGAGAGAGAGAGAGAGAGAAAGAAAGGAAGGAAGGAAGGAAGGAAGGAAGGAAGGAAGGAAGAAAAAAAAGAAAGAAAGAAAGAAAGAAAAAGACATACCTTAAAAGGATATGTGCATATTCACAGAAACCAAACCCACATGGTATATTTAAACTTCACAAAAAATTAAAACCAGAAATTAGTTAACAGCAACCTGGCCAATGCTCTTATACCCTTATTTTCCTCTTGTTCCTTCCTCCTTCTCCTCTTTCTCCTCCTCATCCTCCTCTTCCTCCTCCTCCCTCTCCATCTTCATCTTCTTTGTTTTGAGACAGGTTCTCTCTTACTGGGTAGCCCAGACTGGCCTTGAACTTGAGATCCTCCTGCCTCAGCCTCCCCAGTGCTGAAATTACAGGCATGAACCACCATGCCTGGATATCCTTTTCTCTCCTCATGCTCTCACTTCTCCTCTTTGTCTCTTTCTCTCTTTCTCCTCTTTGCAGCCCTGCACACGTTGCTTTAACCATTCTTTTTCAGCAAACCAATACTTTCTGCTTCTGCTCACAAATTTTTAAAAGTGTCTACCCTAAAATAGTGCCTTTGCTCTTCAATTTGTACCACCTTACTCCAAGAGAACATGACAGAATGACCGGTTTTTTGAAGTGAGGTTCCAGAATCTTGGGTTGAAGAATTTGATTGGTCAGGTGTGTTTCATATATTCATCCTTTACCTCTAAATTATGTGGGGTGATGGGTCATATAACATGCATATGTCTCCAAGGGGGTGTCAGACATTAGAAGACAACCCAAAATTGTCTGCTAATAATTATTGGAATTAACAAGGCCTGACAATCCCTGGATTTTAAAGAAATTATGTCTCACCAACACATAATCAGAGCACATTGTATAGAGTAGAGTCATATTGTACACACATTTAAATTAAGCACCCATTTTAGAGCCCAATTCTTAAAATAAGATTCCTTGTTACTGTTTAATATTATCCACAATCGACAAATCCATTGACACACATAAAGTCTTAATATTTTTTAGAATCAGTATGTAAGACACCTTGTAGACAACAGATAAGGTTGCCTTTGTCATTGTGGGGAAAGAATAATAATTCCTATCCTGGACAGAAATTTTCTGAGAATAGGGGTGAAAAATAAGCCCAGAACACAGAATTGTAGCCTTGAGTTCCCTAAGGGGAGTGAGGGTTACAAAAAAGTGTTGTTGAAATGAGTTAGTTCACACCACAATAAGATTTACTTAAAAGCAGAATAGTCTGAATGTCCAGACAGCAGCATTGGTTTTTTTCCTCAGTTTAGCTCATGATTCTCAAATCTTCATGTGCTTAAGAATTAGCCTGTGGAGTTAAAACCACAAGCATGGTGTCTGTCTTTCTGAGTGATTTAAAGTTATTTCACAAGTATTTTTAACTCTTAAGAAATTGTTTCCTTTATAGTCTAGGTAATATCCTATATGTTACTAAGTGATGTTCTACTATGACAGTC